AAAACAAAAGTAGTAATTTGGTTTGATTGTGCCAGAATAATGAAGTCTAAAAATAAGCATGTTAATGTTGTCATTGAAATATAATCAAAATTTAATTGAATTTCTTTGTGAATACCATTGAGAGTTTCTACATGGAGTGTATTTTGATAAACATAATAAGAAAATCCATTTGCTGAAAGAGAGAATAAATGAGGAATAAATGATTTTGTATAAATACTTGTTCCACAAATAGATTTACAATAAAAAGAGTTTTCTGTAAATAGAACAATACATTTCTTTGATGAAATAAAAGCCTTTTGTATTGGTTGAATTTCTTCTATTTTTAATATAGTATTTTGATGATTGTTATTGTAATATTTCCATTCTACTCCGATAGAATTTTTTAAAACATATTCTATTGTGCCTTTTTTCGAATCTATAATACTAATAATTTTTCCATTTACATCTACAACACTTCCTTTTTGTTTAATCATAGTTTTTCCATTTAGTAGTTCAATAATAATAATTTCATTACCATCATAAATAGCGTCAATATTATTTAATCCTTCTACTTTCTTCATTTTACAACTTCTCATAAAAATACTAATTTCATTAAATCCAGAATTATTAGTTTTAACTGAAAACCCTTCTTCTCCAACAGTAAGAATACTTCCACTATTTGTTGGAAGAACATTTATTTTAATTCCTTCTTGATTTAAAAAGATTCCACTAAAGTCGTATTCATACTTTTTCCTTGGTAATCCATTTAATAATGAAAAGGCTTTTAATAACCATTTATGCAACTCCTTTGATAAAACTGCCATTTCGAGCGTCATCCTTAATATGTATAACCTTTCTAAAGACATTAATAAAGGATATGAATAAATTTCTGGTACTAAAGCACTATTAGACAGTTGGTCTATTGAACGAATAGCTTTTCCATGCAAGGTTTGGGCTTGATAAAATGGTAACAATAAAATAAATGGAACTATAGAATATAACAAACAACAAACATCCACTGGTTCAAGTTTAACTGATTTTCTTACTTCTGGACTAGGACTTGGAATCAAACTAAAATCATTTCGTAACAAATACTGCTTTGAAGGATCAACAATATGACAAACCAATGTTTCCCAACTCATTGCTGTATCGATCCAAGGAAAGAATGGATGATTATTAATATCATTATATGAATATCCTGCAAAAAAGTTAAGTTGATTTATAAACATATAATTACTCATTCTTCCATTAATCCAATCTTTAATTATAGTTGATTGGTTAAATGCTTTAATTGGATCAATGTAGATAACTGTTTGTATTTGATGGTTTAAAGTAATGTGAGATAAATTATTTAAAAATTTCAATGAATCTTTCATATGAATCAATAATGGACGGTGATACTTTATATATAATTCAATATATTCTTCTCTTCTCAAAATGACCATTGTAATAATATTTAATCCAAATTCATCGATTTTTGATGGTGTTTTGATAATTAATTGAAGGTTATCAGCATTAATATAAATTTTAGCAACTTCTTTCTTACTTAAATAAATAAGAACTCCATCCATTCCTTCATCACTAGTAAGTGATTTAAAATGAATTAAACCTTTCTTTTTTTCAAGAACTTCTCTATATTCCTTTTCAAGACTTAATGGAGTAATAACACTAATCTTATTTTCATCTATAGAAACAGGTTTCAATATAATAATTGGTCTTAATTCAGAAAACCCAATTTCTTCAAATTTAAAAGTATTAGAAGTTACAGTATCAATGAGAATATTTGATTTAAGAGCATTTGACCAATTTCTTCTACTAGAGGTGAATAATCTAAGTCTAATATCAGTGTCACTCATAACTAATCTATTATAATCCATTGGTGCAACATCAAGATTAGGATACTGAACTTCTTTAAAAACAAATGAAGTATTATTTCTTGGTTTATTTTCTTCAATTTTCAATACATCAGCTTGAACTTTTAATCCATTTTCATGAGTTTTATAGAAAGAAACTAATTCCTTTCCAAATAATTGAATTCCTTTAAAATCCAATTCCATAGGAGTTTGTTGTTTAAGGTTTAATAAATACGTCATATTTGAGATATCTCTTCTTACACTTGGATCATTACATTGTTTAACAATATCATAAAGATGGAAAATAACCCAACTATCATATCCTTCAATTTGTGGTCTTTGAACAAGGTATGGAGGAATTAGTTGTAGCGTTTTTCTTAACAAAGGAATATTATTATTCTTTAAAGCAATTGAATGGAGTTGACATAATATTAAATGAACAATAAAAACGTGTTGCATTGATGCTACTTTAGAATTGCATAATTTTGGTTGTGGATAATGATATTCTAAACATTTTGTTATTAATTCATAATCTTCTTCAAAATGAGGTAATGCAGTATCACAACCATAACTACATGTTCTACAAAAGAAGTCACTAAATAATAACATCATTTGAACAACCATTTTATCTCTTGAATCATTATTTAATTGACAAAGAACATTTTTAACTAGACATTTTAGAAGACTCCTAAATATGATATAAAACTTTTCTTTATTTTGTAGTTTTGATAATAAATAACAAATAATATTTTCCAATGACACATTTTGTTGTTGAAACGCAATTCCAATTATTCTTGCAAAAATATTTTGTAGTCTTTGTAAAATATTATATTCTTTTGAAGATACCAAAGATACAGCCATGTCAATAAATATTGTTATCCAATATTTACTTTTTAATAAATACTTCCAAATAACATGATTTTCTAAACATTGAACAAGATCATTTAATATAATATCTAATACAACCATGTTATTTGATAAATTATTTGATAATGCAATACTTAATGATTTAAGAAATGGTGTTAGAAAATCTTGTTTTAATTTCATTTGATTCATATTTAGAAGAAATCCTTTAGAAGATAAATACCCTGTTGTAGTAGTATCAATGTATGTATTTCTAATAATATTAAATGAACTTTCAATAGCTATTTGATATAATAAAGGTGTTAAACGTGTTGAATTCATTGCATCAACAATAACATTATATTTAACTTCTATATTAATTAAAGCCAAAAGTCTTTCAATATTACCTTTTAAAAATGATGGATTTTTTTGAATATAAAGATAGAATAATGCAGTTTTATTCTTTTTTAACATAGTTGATATAAAAGATCTTAATTCTCCTTGTGAAGTTAATACCATACAAACATACATATAAATTAATAACGCTTCTGTATTAAAATCATTTGTTTGAATTGCAGTATCAAGAAGATGTAATGAATCAGTCATAAAATATTGAACAATATAAACGTCTTTAATTATAATTGAAGTAATATATTGAATATATCCACATCTCCATTGAAGATGAGCTCTTGGAATAGTTTCTTTTTCAAATTCTGGAATATCGTCATATAGAATCCATAACATTAAACTCCTATATGATAATTTTTCAAATAATTTGAATGGTAATGTTCCTAAAACAGTATGACTCATTGATTCTTGTAATTCTCTAACATATTCTACTCTAAGTGAATCATTTGGCCACCACCTAATATCAAAAATATGTCTAAGAATAAGATTTCTAATAGAAAGAAAAGAATGAGAATTAATAAGTCTTAATGCAAAAGAAATAAATTCCTTAACAATTGGAGTTTGTGATTTTTTTATTTCATTAAATGTTTGTTCTTTTGTTATTTCTGCTAAATTAATTAATGTTTGAAATATAGTAGATATTTCATTATTTTCAATAGATTCTTGTCTCAGCATTTTAAAAGTGGATAATAATCTAAAATAAAGATCAAGTATTTTTTCACAATCTTCTAATGCTCTTGTATTATATTTTTGATTTAATAAAATAAGCAATTTACTAATACCTCCAATTCTATTAATAATAGCACCAGGTGTTTCACGTATAATTGTAACAATTGGTGTAAAATTTGATATTTTATAACAATCAAAAAGTAAAATATCTTCAGTTAATTCTTTCTGATCATATCGAATAATTGTTTCTTCTGGAAGTATTATTACATCAGTTATATCACCAGTAAAATAACTTTTAGGATTACTTGATATTCCACCAATAGATATAATTGCTTCTTCATTTTTTGGATAATTTAAAGAAAAAGTAAAATTCTCTTTTTCAATTTCAACAACAAGACGTTGTTCTCTTTTAGAATGAATTATTATTAAATTATACCATTTTCCATTAACAACACGTCTATTATTCAATTGTAAATCATTTTTATTTGGAGTTGTTATTAAAGATGGTGTATTAATTCCACATTCAATATAAAGAAATCCTTCTTTTATAGTTATAGTAATTCCAATAGAAGGAGATTGAATTGATAATATAACACCATTTCCTCTTGATCTAAATGTTAAAGAAATTCCCCAATTATCAGTAGTTCCAATAGTTATAGTTTTATATAAACAAGTCAGAAATCCAGGAAATGCATAATATCTTTCAGGACCACCAAATCGAGCCAAAGAATTAAGTAATGAAAGAATCTCAACATTACAATTATTAGATGTAATATATAAATGAAATAAATCAGTGAAATCTTTAGTAGTTAATCTAATTTTTAATAATTGTTCTAATAAACCTAATATAACAGATAATTCATTTTCATTACTTGTTTTAATTTTTTTAACAAGTTCAGAAGAAAATGATTTAGATAATTTTGATATGTTTAATGGATTTTCTGTTATTAATAATTGTAATGTTTGATATAATCTTTTTGGATTTATATAATTTCTTATTTTTTCTTCAATATTTGATACTATTTGATACACAGAAGAGTTAATAGGAATACTAGGATCATATTGAACACCACAAAGAATAGGAATTGTTTCTTCTAATAAGATTTCATTAACATCTTCCATTTTAAATTTTATTATTCAAAAACTAATTAGAAATTTTATAGATCTTTTGTGTTTTTCTTTTTTCTGTTTGAAATTTAATGTTAATAATAATTAAAATTTGAATAAACAATACACATCAATTATTATTTAAAAAAAGTTACGAGTTATTTGTGAGTCTTGTTGAAGAATTGAAATAACCGATAATTGAACCTTTGAAACTATATAAGGTTGGTCAAATTTAAATAACTGAATGAGCAATTGAATATCCTCTTTATCTAAATCTAAACAACTTTGAATTTGTTCTATTAACTTTTTTCCAAAAGGAAAAGAACTGTTAATAATAAAATAAAATAATTTCATTCCTCTAATAATCATAAAATTTGATGTTTGTTGTAATAAATATAAAGCAACATTTAATTGGTTTTGATCAATTAATTTGACAAATTGTCTAATAAAATCTTCTATTAAGAAACAATGATCAATTGGAGTTAAAAATGAAATAGGGTTGATTGGATTTACATTGGTATTTACTTTTAATCTTTTATTAATAATATTAAGAAAGTATGAAGACCTTGATCCATAATAAGAAATAGTATCAATGTCTTTCATTGATTGAACAATAGATTGATTAGAATCTATTAAACAAATTGGAAATGGAAATTGAAAGTATTGTGATGGATCAAATTTAGTTACAAATTGAAGAGTAAAAAATGGATTTATGTCAATAGTCATTTTATTAGAATGAAAGTCTTGAATTGCAGGTAAGGCAAATGGGTCTAATAAAATTCTCATATCAGTAATAGTATTAGTTGAAAATGGAATACAAATAGTGTAATAACTTTGAATATAACCAGAAATTATAGAACATAAAAATCTAGTATATTCTTTTGTAGTATTTTTTGTATGAATTGATATATTAATAAATTGTTGTTTATTATTAAATACATGAATAAACTCATCTATTTTATCAGTTAATACATATAATTGTTCAATTAAATATTTACTTGAATCTTCATTATTAAGAGTAAAATTTGTTAATTGGTAATAATAAAATATACGATTTATATAATCATAAAGCGAATCATGAAACATTTTATGATTAATAATATCTTTTGGTAAATCAATTCCTATACTAAATATAATTACTGGATATCCTGTTGGTGATTTTACCATAAAAGGAATATGTAATGTAAATATTATAATATCAACTTCTTCTCCATTTTTTATTCGTTTACCAAATTCATAATAATAATATGTTGGAATATGTGTTGTTTGAATTCTAATTTCAGTTGGTCGATCAATATGAATCGAAGTTTTTAAAGGAATTGATTTATAATATTGATTCATACTATAATTTTTTACTCGGTTATGAATGTCATGAATTACTTGAGTATTTTCAAAGTATTCCATTATAAGTTGTTTGCCATTCATCTCAGGATATGAGATGATATCTAATAAAAAGACATGACTCATCTCATTTCCCTTTTTCATATTGAATTTTTGAGAGATCTTCCAACTTGTTTCAGAAAGAAGGTCTTTTGATGTTACTTGTCCTACAATTGTTTCAAATGATCCCCAAATAACACCCCAATGTTCGTGTAATGTATGTGATGATAACGATTTAACACTAAAAAATGATTGCCGAAGGTAAGTAGGTGAATTATTACTAGAAAATGGAGAAGACACACTAATCCTTCTAGACATAAATGAATATAAAATAAATAGTTCGTTGGCAAGTGAATCAAAAATATAAAATACATTATATACAAAACCCACTGAAAATTATTTTAATTTGAAATTACAAAACTTAATAAAAATATTTTATATCATATTATTTTTTAGTAAAAAATTATTTATATCTTATTATAATTTTTAATAAATAAAATTTGTGAAGAATAAATTGAATTAATTCTCTTTATTCAGCATCGTCAAGGTTAGCAACACCTGGAAGTGGAAGTCCTTGTAAAAGTTCAAGTGATGCTCCTCCTCCAGTAGAGATGTGGCTGACTTGTTTGTCAAGACCGAATTTCTTAAGAGCTGTTGGAGTATCTCCACCACCAACAATAGTCAAAACACCAGCTTGTGTAGCAGCAGCAACAGCTTCACAGAGGGCTTTAGTTCCAGCTGAGAATTTATCAATTTCAAATACACCACATGGTCCATTCCACATAATTGTTTTAGCAGCAAGGATTTTTTCTCTCCATAAAGCAGAAGTCTTGGGTCCACAATCAACACCTTCCCATCCTTCTGGAATTCCTTCTTCAAGAGTACAAATTTGAGTATTGGCATCTTCTCCAAATTTATCACAAGCAACAAAATCAAATGGAAGAAGAATTTCAACTTTCTTAGCTTCAGCCTTAGCAAGAAGTTCTTTACACATTTCAACCTTTGAGGCATCAAAGAGTGATTTACCAATCTTCATATTCTTTGAAGCAGCAAGGAAGGTATAAGCCATACCACCACAAATAATAAGTTGGTCGACTTTTTCAAGGAAATTATTAATAATTGGGATTTTATCAGCAACCTTAGCTCCTCCAAGGATTCCAAGATATGGTCTGTTAATATGATCAAATGCTTTAGCAAAATATCCAAGTTCTTTCTTGACAAGGAATCCAGATACTTTTGGACTTAAATTAACACCAACCATGGTAGAGTGTGCTCTGTGGACTGTTCCAAATGCATCATTAACATAAACATCACCAAGTTTAGTTAATTGTTCTCTGAATTCTTTAACCTTTTCTGGATCAGCCTTAACTTTCTTTCCATCAACAATTGATGATCCTTCTTCTTCTGGATGGAATCTAACATTTTCTAATAAAATAATAGTTCCTGGAGCTGGATCAGCACATGCCTTAATAACTTCTTCACCAACACAATCACTTAAGAAAATAACTTTATGTTTGAGAATTTCTTCTAATTTTTCAGCAACTGGTTTAAGAGTAAGTTCTGGAACAACATGTCCATCTGGTCTTCCAAGATGAGAAGCAAGAACAACAGATTTACATCCATGATCAAGACAATATTGAATTGATGGAATAGTAGCATCAATTCTTTTAGTATTAGTAATTTTTCCTTTTTCCATTGGAACATTAAAATCAACTCTCATAAAGACTCTTTTGTCTTTAACATCAATTTGATCAAGACTCTTTTTAGTAAATCCCATTATATAAAAGTTCTTTCTATCTTGATCTTTTTATACCTTTTCATATGTGTGAATTCGTGTCGTTTCGTATTTTTTGATGACTGAGTCTTTTTCTTCTCATTTTTCTTTACTTCTTTATATTAATTTTTTACTATTTTTCGTTATTCACTTTTTTCATTTATTTGAAGTTCTCTTGCTTAATAAGAAGGGTTTTTTTAAACTTCTCTCCTTTTCTAAATTTTTTGTTTATTTTATGTTTCTGAATTATCATACTCTTAACATGAATTATATATTTTAAATTACTATTTTACTTATCTTTTGTTTTCTTTATTGCTCAGCTTCTTTTTATTATTATTTAATTGATTAATACTTAAGTGTTGTTGTACTATGCATAGGAGTAAAACAATCAGTGGTTTGTGAATATTGTTGAAAAAATTACATTCAAACACAAAATATAAAAACTAATAAAATTTTGTTTCAAGTAATTCTAAAAGAAATTATATTAAATGCTTTCTTTTATTTTATGATCTTCTCAATAATTTAATATATAACTTTTATTTGTTTAATTAAAGTAACAGTAACTATGAAATATATAACACTATTAAAAAAAAAAAATAAAAGAAAAATTATAAGTAAGAAGATTATAAGTTTTTAATTATAAAATAAAGAATAGAAGAATTATAATATACTGGTAATGCTGGTTTGTATCAAAACGTTATAATAATTTGTTTTATTCTATCTGATTTTATGATGTACTAATAAATTAATAAGGAAATTACTATGATAGTAAATTTAAATAATTTAATGATATTGTTTATTCACAAGTAGTTGATTTAACAAGAACGAATTATTTTAAATCATTTAAAAATGGATTAGAAGTGACATCAAAACGTATGTCTTAGACATTAGTTTTGTTTGAAATAAAGAATTTTTTTGTGAGTATTTCACAAATACTAAGCTAAAGAAAAAATTAAAAATTGATTGAAAATAATATATAAAATTTTATTAAAAGAAAACAAATTTAATTATTTTGTTATAATCTAAAGTGTATTAAGCGTTTGTGCTCTAAAAAGTAATTAAGTTTTTCTTACTCTCATATTTTAAAGGAAAAGACCAATACTTTTCAGTAATTATTTTCAGAAAGAATTTAAATGGAATCTCAATTAAAAGATACTTTTAATGAAATAGACGAAGATCATGATGGAATTATTTCATTTTATGACTTTCTTTCTTCGGCAATTAAATACCAAGTTAATGTTAATCAAATTCTTCATGTGTTTAAAGAAATAGACCAAAATAAAAATGGAAAAATAACATTAATGCAATACATAAACTATTGTCATAAAAAACACACCTTCTAATTGAAGAAAATACAATTTTTTTACCCAAAATAAGAAATTAATTATTTCTTAGAAACAATTTTGTCAGTAACTTTACTGGCTTCTTTTTTTGTTTGTTTTTCAGTCTTTTTAGTTATTGTACTCTTGAACTTCTTACTAAGAGTCTTCATAGATTTTCTTAATGGTTTTTTAAGGACTTTTTTAGCTTCTTTTTTAGCTTCATTTCTTGATCTGACAAAAGTTAAATATTGGTGTTCAAGTTTTCTGATTAATCCATCGATAGCAGATCTACAAACCATCTTAATATCAACATTGTTAACACCTTCAGAAGTAACTTCTTCAATTCTTTCAACAATTTTCTTATAATATTTATTATAAGCTTTTTTAGCTACTTTCCTGAATTTTTCTTTAGCCTTTAATATATCACCCTCTTTCTTATGATCAATAGTTTTAACTAATTTTTCTGAAGCAATTTCAGCAGCCATCTTAGCATATTTATGAGCAAGAGATTGAGTTTCCTTTAAGAGGAGTTTTTGGTTGTGTTCAATTTCTCTTCTAATATGAGTATTTTCTTCAAGTCCAACTCTATGCTCAATTCTTGTTTTTCTAACTAATCTATCTCTATCAGGAAGGGCAATCTTATCAGCCATTTGTCTCATTCTTCTTAAAACAGTTCTTTTTTGTCTTCTAATTTTATCCATATTTTTATGTAATTTATCAATTTGGGTTTCTATCTTCATTCTATCTGCCATATCGACTGCAAGTTTCATATCATTGTATAAAATATCTAGTGCATTTTCAATTTTTCTTTCTCTATTTTCAAGAGCTAATAAAGTTCTTTCATTTCTTCTATTGGCATTTTTAATTGTTCTCATTCGCTTTAAGATGGTTTTACCATGAATAAATGGGTTGAACAAATCTTCTCAGCAAGTGCACAAACACAAATAAATACAAAAAGGAATGCTTTCATTCACTAAAATAATATAATTATTAGTTCCTTTTTTTAGTTGATTTATAAATTCTCTAATTGTTTCATATTTTTTTATTTTAGTAGCGTTTTTGAAAATTCTTTCTTCTGTTAGTATTTCGTGTTGATTTCAAAATAATTAATTTTATTAATTATTAATTTATTTATTTTTTTAATGATATTTTTTAATTTTTTATTTATTTTTTGTTGAATAAACAGTTTCATAAAATGGATTAATGTAATTTATTCAAATCCATTTATTATTTATTCATAAACAAAAAAAAAAAACAAAAAATAATAATTGGAAAATAAGTTATTAAAGATCTTCTTTTGTTTTTACTTGTTTTTCATCATTTTCTTTTTTATTTTCTTCTGTAGATTTGTTTAAAATAGTGTTGTCAATATTTTTTACTTTATCAATAAGTGATGAACCGCAATGTAATTGTCTGTATTGATAAACTCCTTCATCAATTTTTTCACTAAAGCACGTCTCGCATTGTTGTTCTAAAATAGTGTCACGATAAGCAATGCATTGGTTATCATTGAAAGCTTCACACAATAATTTATTATTATGTATTCGATACATAGCAGATGTTCCATCAGGGAAAGAAGTACAACCACTAAACATTGATTCAATAACTGTTACTTTATCACACAATCCTTTTTCAGTTAGTCCTAAAGTAGAATTAGTAAAGTAAGCGATTGGTTTTCTTTCATCACTATCTAAAGAATCGATTATACTAACTATTTTTCTAAAAGGAGGTTGATTAGCATTCGTACATGTATTTAATTCTAATGGAATTAAATTGTTCATATAATTATCTTTTGTTTTTTCACAATGATCATTACCAGTATACATGTCAGTTCTTAATGATTTACCATCAGTGCTAAGAGTAAATGATATTGTTTCTAAAATTTTTGATTTAGGATTTGGTTCTGTTCTTACTAAACAAGTTTCTAATTCTCTATATTCACACCCAATAATTTCTTTACAGTTTTCATCTAAATAAGCACATTCCCTTAATAATTTTGCATGAATACAATAATTAGAAACCAAGAAAAGAAGGAATAACATAATTTAAATAATTTTAAGTTTTATTTTTTATTTTTATATAAAAAAACCAATTTGTTATTTTATTTAAAAAGAAAATGTAATTTATAACTCTTTTTGTTGTTTTGGTAATGTTTCATTCTTTTCTTCTTTTTTATAACAATGAACATTCACATATCTTATTAATTCATTTCCAAAATATTCTTTTATACATGAACCACAAGGACTTTCAATATTTGTCATTGCTAGATTTGTGCATTCTTTGTCTCTAAATGTTTGTAATGTGAGTGTATTATTAATAATAATTGCTTTTGAATATGTTCCTTCCATTACCTCAACACATGAATTATAAATTACTTGAATTGTCGATAACATTGAACATGGTTTAGTTTCATTGTCATTAGAAAATACAAATGTTGCATTACTTAAATACCCCACAGCCCCTTGTTCAATGCCATCAAGTTGATCAACAATAGTATCTATTATATATATCGACTCATCACTAATGCAAACCCCTAATTGTTTTATTGTAATAACTTGATTTGGAATAGAACTTTTATTAAGACAAAGTTCATTTGAACTAAAATGATAACTAACAACTTCATTCTCTATTTGAACAGTTTTTGAATAGAAATATTCAATTGTATTTTTAGGGTCTGGAATAGACAAACAAGCATTTAATTCAATAAATTCACAAGAACTAATTCTCTTACACTCTTCATCAAAGTACATGCAATGTCTTAAATATTGAGCAGAACAAATAGAAATAAAAATACTAATGAAAATAACTATCATTTAAATATTTCTTTCTTAGTTCTTAAGAATTTTTTAATTATTTAATATTTCAAAAATAAACAACAATCTTTTTTAAAGAAAATAATTGAAAGTTATGTATGTACTTAACACTAAAGTAAATGTTGATAAAAATTACATCATAAGTAAAAGAATATATAGTCAATAGTCATGGATCACAATAACTTCTTTTAATTAAATGGCTTAGTTTAGTTCATAATAAACAATGAAAGGATTTTCTAATAGCACAGTAATTATCTTTCAAATATCTTTTGAAAAAAGTACTTGTAATAATTGTTAATATCAATTTTTTTATTTCTTTGATACTCCAAAAATATTAAAAGTTGAGTTGACAATGAATTATAATGTAAAATTCATCATTTTAATATATCATTTATATTTATTATATTTATATAAATTGATGTCTTCCATCTATTTATTATACTTTCTACAATGTCTTAATGATACGTTCTACATTAAAATATTTTAATGATTCTATTACCAATTCAGGATTTACAGTGTCATATACTTTATTAATATTATAATATGACTCTACATATTTTGTGTATTTTCTTTCTGTTGATTTAATATATAACTATTAATTGTTCATTCTTTATCATCAAGAGATTGCAATTTAAATCATAATTGATTTTTATTAATTTTAAATGATTCAGTATTCATGTTAATTCTATTATGAATATCATATTCTGCATGATTACTTAATTCTATTATTAAATAAAATTAACTGAAAATAATATAATTTTAGCCAAATAAACACTAATAAAAGATTTTAAGAGAAAGTTAAATAAAAAAAGATAAAAAGAAAAGAAGATAAAAAGAAAGAATAATGAATAAAAGATGTGATATGAATGTATTTAAATATTTATGATTATTGGTTTGATATTATAGTGAATGTTTTAAATAAAAATGAATAAATGATGAATTTATTTAATTGAAGAAGTAAAAATATTTCTAATTATTCATCAATGATTATTGATATTAATAAACATTATTATTATTATTTATGATATATTAAAAATGAATTATGTGAAATACAAGAGAGTAA